TCAAACAGTATTTGTAATTTTCTAGAATTTGTCTAATTTTTTAATTTCTATTTTCTTTTTATATATTCCAGATGAACATATAAAGATACAGCAGATTTTATAAAATTATAAAATATCTGTTGTTGTTTGTCTGTTTATTCTCTGATTCTGAAGCTCGGATTGGGAGCATGAGGTACAATCACCAAGCAGAGTCTGGGGAGGTTTCTGGAATGCTTCCATTTTAATAGGCAGAGCAATCACTTATATAGTCAAGGAGCAAGGGGAGGCACACTGCAAATGGGGCATGATTGGTTGATCTTTTGGATGAGCAACGAAGGCAGCAGATAGGAGGAATGGGACGCCCTTCAGCTGGCTCTAAACCAGTCTCAATGCATGAGAATGAACGTGCTCAATCTCCTGAGTAGCCCCTAGCCGGCTAGGAGATGTGCATGTGTTGCACTTGGCTCAGCCATGCTCGAATTTCTCACATTTCCCTTTTTTTTTTGATTCCATCACCTCTACCAAAAGTACTACATTAGCATGGGTCTGTTTATAATGACAGGAAGCCCTTTGGCTTATCTTGAGGATGAAAAAAAATGATATCAATCTACGTACAGTAAGCATGTAAGGGGAGGATTGAGTGACAGCTTTATAGACATATGGGGAGACACACACATCAGTTCAATTTGCCTGGCACCTGCTTAGAACTTTAGTTTCTAATATTTGTAGTTCTTCCCAAAGCAGGTCCAATTGAGTTTACAGGTTAAGAACAGCAGTTTGTACATCTTGAAATAGGGCTGCACCTTGTCTTAGAGTGAGGGATGTATTATGGGTGAGTCGGTCAACAGCAGCAGCAGTCGTAATTTGGTTATGCAGGGTAGTAGAGGCAGTGGCTGCAGCAGTTAAAGTGGCTGTTAGGGAGACAAGTATGGTGGTGGCGGCAGCTACACCAGATCTTGCTGACATTGTGGGTGAAGCATTACGGTGAAGAGGGAGTCGGATTCTCACCATTCACTCGTCAGATATATGGGTAACCAAATTGTTGGGGGGAGGTGCGTCCAAAATAGAGGCACCAGGTTTTATTAGCAAACATGGCTGGACTGATGCAGGAGGAGACACGGACAATATTGTTGTGCTTGAGAGAGGAATTGGTTACAATGAAGAAAAACGGCAATGGAAGACAGGCTGTGAATGGTGAAACAGTACCGTCGGGGAAGAAGGAAGCAGAGGTGTTAGCAGGAGAGAAGGAAGTGTTAGCATTGAAGGAAGCACTGGCACCTAAAGGGAGGAACAGTGGACTGAAGCCTATGGGCCGCTTACGTCCGATGAATCTAGAAGAGAAAAATTACCCTCAATCAAGGAAGCGTGAAAGTTGGAATCACTGCCAAACACACGGGGAAGAGTAGAGTTCCAATCCACTGTAACAAAAAATAGGGGCTTAGGGACAAGGGCCCATACTTGCGTGACCGAAGGGGGATCCAGGGTGCCACCCCAGGGCCACCCACCGTGACGGGATAGGCCCGGAGAGGTGGGGTCCTTTTAAAATATTTTTTAAACATGTTTTGGAAGAAGGCATCATTCAAATGAGGATCATCATCACTGGACGATAGGGGCTCCTCGCTATCTGATGAGGAAGCAGAGGATCGTGAGATCGGTAAGATGGCAGCGTGCATGGTGGGGGCCGCCATGATGGACCGGAAGCGGTGGCCTCCTTGGGATGACGTACTTTCCGATGACGCGGGGCGGAAGAATCTTCATCTCCCAGAGACGCGGGGGCCGCCTCCGAGGAAGAAAGCAGAAGTGGGGAACAACAACCTCCATTTTGCCCCAGGGAGAAGGAGCTGCCATCTTTGCTTTGTCCCTGAAGTGAGTCTTTACTTTGTCTGTCATTAGAGAGGGCCTGCGGGACCCATGCTTCTGCGGCTTTGATCACATGGGGTCCAAACACAGAATTATTGCTGAGGTTATGGGAAAGAAGTCCAGGGGGAGGCGAACCTAACCGTGCTTTTTGGCTCTGTGCATTACACGCCGCATGCTCCCAGACCTCTGGGTCATCTGTGTGGGCCGGCTCCATCCATGGGGAGGTCTGAAGGAGCAATTACCAAAATTCTAAGAGCCTTGCACGGGAGACCATCATATCCTGTGGTTTTTACGAGAGCTTTCAGTAACGTAACCTGAGCTGGTTTATCATGATTTAGAAGATTACCCATCAGGTACACCTGTGGGGATCACTCACCCACCTCTTCAATACTTACCTGATATATGCGAGCCCGAGTTCGAGCACCACTTGTTGTTGTTTGTGTTTGTACTCTGGTTCTGAAGCTCAGATCCGGAGCGTGAGGCACAGACTCCGGGGAGGTTTCTGGAATGCTTCCATTTTTAACAGGCAGAGCAATCACTTATATAGTCAAGGAGCAAGGGGTGGGACCCTGCATACGGAGCATAACATGATTAGTTGATCCTTTGGGCAAGCGATGGAGGCAGCAGATAGGAGGAACGGGATGTCCTTCAGCCGGCTCTAAGCCAGTCTCAACGCCCGAGAGTGAGCGTGCTCAAACTCCTGAGTATCCACTAGCCTGATAGGAGATGTGCATGTGGCGCACCTGGCTCAGCCATGCTTGAATTTCTCTCAGAAATATCTATACATATTTTAAAAAGAAGTGTTTAAAAATTACTATTATTTTTATTTTCTTGGTTCATAAACTGATAATGTAATAGAAAAGGAAAGCAAAATCCGAAATTAGTCTTAGCTCATATATTTTTCTCTGAAAAATTGATTTTTCTTTGGTACTTAGAGCTTGATGCAATGATAGATGGTGGGATGTGGAATGGGAAAATATAATATACTTTATCCTTTTGTATTTTTATGAATTAACCCTTTTTGTGTTTAAAATTTAGTATGGAAAGCTTATCTGGGTAGACTGTATTCATTTGCATGTACATCGCAGGGCCATTATGATTTTTGCAGCCTGGAGCTCTCCAAGTGAGATGCAACAGTTTTGAAGAATCATAAAAAGTGGGTGCAGGATCATGTGATCACATTGCAGTCCAGCCACTCATACCTGTTTTTTCAGCAGTCTTGTAAATGTGTTGGCTTTCATTGTACCTATTTAAGGTTCCCTGGAAAATTGATGGTTCTTTCATACTTCATAGTTCTCTGATGCAGATGAGGAACTTTGCCATAACTTTTACTCCACTGCTTTACGCCCCACATTCTGTCTGAGACACCTAGATAACTTAGTTTGGAGGCTTTTCAAATATTTACTGTGAAGTACTTAGAATCTGAAGCAACCCTACTGGCACAGAATATTAATTTCTTCAGAGCTTATTATACTTCTAACTACTTAATATACTTAGGTTAATACACTACTCATGGGTTTGCTCACTGGGTCACATAATTTGTATTTTAAAAATTCATTTGTTTTTCTTCTTATGCATTATTATTTTCTCTACTACACTTTACTGGGGTTTATTTTACTATATTTTGTAACTTTTTGAGATAAATATTTAGCTGCATTTATTTATGCCTTTCTGCATTTCACATGTATGCACTGGAATATATACATTTCTCAACTTGTTTTGATTCGTTCTACAAATTTGATGTATTGCTTTAATTGTAGAACCTAAGATATTTACAATTTTCTAATCGAAAATCTTCTTTGACTTATGGATTATTTAAAGTAGCAGAGTCTAGTAAAACTATAATGGAAACTACACATGCTAACTATATTTGTGATTTAAAAGTTTAAACTGTGAGTCACTAGATGTGTTCGGCGCTACAGTTGTCCCTGGTTGTGCTTCCTACAATGCCTGATACTACTGTACTGGATCATGAACATGGCTTTTTGTCTGGTTCTTATTTGTTTTATCTCCTTACCCATATTTTTCCTGCTGTTAACTTTTGTGTCTCAGTCATTCTTAAACATTCAGATCATACTTTGCCAGAATGTTTACATTTAATTTCTGTTTTATAATATATGTTAAAAGGTGTTAAAGTTTGTTGTTTCATCAGCCTCATTAATTTATTTCTTCTCACAATAAACTCCTTCTGTGACATCCTTGGCCCAGTCATAAAGCTTTGTGAAACCTTCTTGAAGTTCAGTAACATAAACTTGGCATTTCACCAGCAAAGTATATTTCTGATGAGCAAAAAGAACCTCAAAATCCTGCCCTCTCTTTCTGTCTAGGCCACATCAAATACTTTATAATTATCAAATAATTGGAGAATAAAGTTCTTCATTTACTGGTCTACTGGACCTCTTACTACCAACAGAGGTATGTGTGTCATAGTTGGTGCTGATGTGACTATGGGGATTGTAGAGGCAACTTTATTCATACTTATTTATGACTCATTTTTTCTAAAAATGACATTTTGGATATTAGACTAGCATGAACTAACTACTAGTTTATACCAAGGAATCAAAACTGTGGCCTTAAGGAAAGAAATAGTCAAAAATAAAATCAGAATAAAGTTTCTTCTTGCTTTTCTGCAACATGCAATGACTACAATAACTACAATGTTTAATGACTCTATTTTACATACCTTCAGCCTTTTTCTAGTTTACAAAACAGCCAGTCTCTTACCTCATTGTTACTGCAGAATTTTTAAAATATCCATAGATATTCAAGCCTATAAGTCTCTCACTATGCAGATATGAAATCCCAAAATCTTAAAAACTGGCAACAGGTCATTTCCCACCATTTACTGGTATTTTTACTGTAAGAGAATTTATTTCCAGGATGGAATAAATTTAGTATTTGAGTGAGAATGATTTATAGAGAGAGAGAGAGAGAGAAATATTTTTCACTGCAAAGGAGATATGAAAGTATAGTATAATGTGGGTCTGCCCACAGGGTTGCTGTGAGTTCCCCTTTAAACTGTAGAACTGCAACTGATCTCTGTATGTTTTGTGGTATTCGTTCCTTTGAAAGGAGAGTGAGCCAAGATCATTGGCTGAACTGTGGAGCTGTCACATCTCAGTACTGAAAAGGTACAGAGCTAGTGAATTTAAACAGTCTCTGACTTTCTATTCCTTCTTGCCAAGAGCTTTGAGAAGGATGAACCAAGTAAATGCTTTATTTAGGACTAAGTGAGATACAGATCCCTCCAGTCTGACAGCGTTTCAGCCTCCGGAGTGAGGAAGCAGCAGAAACTGAAGCAGCAATAGCAGTAGCAACAGCAGCAGCCCTGCTGAAGTCCAATAGAGGAGACCTGATCTCTGGTGTATTTTGGAACTCCGCCTGGGATCGTGACTGTCCAGGGTCCTGAAACATGAACCAAACTGCCAGCGTGTCCCACCACATCAAGTGTCAGCCCTCAAAAACAATCAAGGTAGGACCAAGTTTTCATCTCTGTGCTCTGCTTCTGCACAAGTACTTTCATTCATCTGCCTCACATCTGGGTGTTGGCATGGCAGGGCACTGATGGTGGCGATACCTCGTTGGCTAGAGTTTGTGTTGAAGGTTGGATCTCAGTTAGTGTGTCGCTCTGTTTGCATGTGTAAGTAGACTGGAGAGTGTAGTTACCAGCGAACAGTTCTTCTATCCTGATGACTTCAGATCTTTTTTGCCTGAAATATTTATGAATCGTAAATTTCAGAAATAAACTTTAGTGAGTGCTTAGACGTTTCTACTTCATACCGGTTTTCTTAATAGAACTGGTGAGGAATTTGTAATTACTTATACCAGGTAACATTAAATTGATAAATTTGGTAACACTATATTATTGTCATATGGAGTTAGAATCTCTCACCTTTCCAGAGAAAAGTGTATTCCTTTTTAGAATTGAACATTACAGGTTGTTACATTACAATGACTTTAGTGAGAGTATAAAAGGCTACTGAGAGAGTATAAAGACATATGTTCTTATGTGTACCACCATATAATTTAAAACCAGGAAATACTTCTCGACACCAATACTTGTGATAAATCTTAGGATTTCTGATAGCACATGGTTAAAAGTAAAGCAATAAGCTCAGAATTTCATTTTGCTTTCCAATTTTAAGTAACAGATCAACTCTTTGCTTTTATTTGGTATGTTTTTGATTATGTGGAGGTTTATAAATGACCATGCTTCCAAGCAGGAATTTGCTCTATATTGCCATCTATCTGAACTGTGTGGGTGACTGTGTGTGTGTGTGTGTGTGTGTGTGTGTATTTTTTTATCTAGAATCAAAATTATTCACTCCTCTGAAACACATTTATGAAGAAAATTGATAAAGTGATTAGCTGATTGGTTATCTTTAGTTATTGCTAGCTCCCATTCACTTACAAGTGCATACTTTTACTAAGCTGCAATAATTCATAAAACTAGACTTTTTATGATTTACATAACTTTTTGGTTTATAACTCTGGCCTTTGACAATATTGCATAGACTGTAATTATAAAAGGGATATAGTTTTCAGTAATATCTCTTTCTTATGAACTTTCCTACCCTTTGTCTGAGTCTTCCAATGATAAATAGGCCATAAACTGTGCATTTTACTCCATTTATCAGCAGTTATTTTTAAAAGCAATGAGGTAGCCAAGATATATCCAATGATGCATAATTAGATTCTCATCATATATAAACACAGTGAGTTAACTTAAATCATGTACAGCCCAGATTCAGATAATTTATACCATCTCTAATGGCCAAAGTAGAGTCTATTTCAGCTTTGAATTCTTTTGTACCATGTCCAAGTTTAGAAATAAGATGTTGAGCTTTAAGATTTAAATTGTTCTCTGCATGTAAGATTCCCACATGCATCAATTATATAAATATGCCACCACTTGGCAATGCCAAAAAAGTAAATACATCACATTCCATATTGTAATATATAAACTCTAGTTGAAAGAATGCATTGTAATCTCAAGTGGGATTGAATTACAAACTGTCTATCTACCTCTGACTGGAAAACAATAAAATGATCAGTGGCTTTCTGTTTAAGTGTTTGAGGTTACAGGACTCAAGCATTTTTATCTGCCCTTTTCTTTATTGGGCAAGCACAACTAAATGCTACTTCGTTACTTTAAATCACTTTCCTTATTAATGCTCTGGCTTTGACTGCTCTCAGACAAACTGGAGAGAAAAAATGTTTCTAGTGTAAGGGTTTTGCATCATCTTGCTGATCTGGCAGATGCTGGTTTTTATTCTAACTGCAGCCATTGAATTTAAATGAAAGGCATCATAAAAATTAGACAGCCCACCGCTTAGCAATGTATTATATTAATGGCTTAATGAAAGAATCTTGAATCAAAGCTCTGGGTGATTTTTGTTAATTGTACAAGTTAAGTTATTTTGTGCATCCCCATATTACTCTGCAGAGCAAAAGATGCTTGTGATGTTCATAAAGTATATATAGTTGCAAGCATTGAACTATTAAGGGAGTAATTACTTGAGTATTTTCCAATTTGCAACAGTTAAAGGGGATGAGTGGAAAAGCTCTCTTACTTCAAATTATGTGCTCAATTATGAAACATTTATGGCTTTTGGAATTTATACTAAAAATGGCTATCTATATTTAGATAATGCATTAACCTATGAGCAAAATGCAATAACAACCCAAGGAAAATCTCTAAGATGAGAGATTTTTGGAAAGCTCTGGTATACTGGAATTTAAAAGACTCTGAACTTTTGGAATTTTACTCTTAAACATGGTTGTTTACTGGTAATTTTCCCCTTATTATTAAAGTTATTTGACGATTTAAAATAAAGCTCCCTCACGGGATTTGATTCGCCCTGCAGATAATGATAACCCATATTGGGATTCTGGAAATACTGAGATATTTAAAAATTAACATACTGTTCCACTTTAGAAATTCTAAAACCTCCAGGGGCTTTTTCTACATAGCTCAATATAATAAACTCTAGGGAATTTTCCCCTCATTCAGTGTAGTAAATGTTGCTGTTATCTCTAGATAATATAACTCCTTCTAAAGAGAATGCAGTAGAAATAAGCCAAAAAAGAAATGCATGGTGAAAATTAGCTGTAGAACCAAACAACCTGTAGGAGAAATAAAAAGGGCAGGGGGCAGTATGCGTGTATGTGTGCGTGTGTGTGTGTGTGTGTGTGATTCGAATTTTAAAAAGCAATGAAATCTGCAGCGGATCAAATTCACCATTTGTTGCCAGTCAAAGTTATTTGTGGTCATGGCAGTAGCAGAGCTGGAGAAGCAGAGATGGGGAAGAGTAATAATGGAATCAAGGCGTCAACATTATTTGGGTTTTATCAGTCTAGCCTTCCCCATCTTATCCAGTCTCAGAATTGTTTTGATGTACTTCGGCAGGTATGTTTCGATAGTCAAAATCAACAAGAGAAAACAGCAGAAAAAGTCAAAAGAAGGTGCCACCCTCTTCTCAGGTCACTTTTGGATGGAATGTCAAAAGTAATACACTCATAAAATCCTCCCCTTTCTGAGAAACTGTTAAGCAGTAAAGCTTTTCCTGAAATGATTACAAATCTTACTGTCAGGGTGGTAGTGCTGAAACAAAAGTTATTCTCTTACACACCAAGATCTGCAATGGTAAGTTTGGGGATGTCAAATACAGATCTAATCTTGATCTCTGAAATACTGTCCCATCTTGGGTAACAAACTTTTTGTCTTTACTGTCTTTGATCCTCTTTGCTACACTGAAAGTAAGTTAAACTTTTCAGCCAAATGTTGGCTTGCTTTCTTTTTCCTAGCAAAATTGCAAATTTAGAACTGTATACAGATTTTTTTTGAAAATTATTTCACATTTTAATATAAGTCTAGCATCCATGAGTGTCAAAAGAAAATAGAAGTCCTTTTTTTTTTTAAGTTTGAAGCTGTGAGTCAATTATCTGATGTTGATGATTCCTGGGACAGCAATTCTTTATGTTATATTTTATTATGAAAACTCCAAAATACACTACAAAATTTTTCTTTGCTTTCCTGTGTAGTACTTTAATACCACCGTCCTTCCTTCTCCTTTTCTAGAATTACCTGGTTTATTCTATCACCACCTACAAATCCAGGCTTCCAGTTATACATAGAATATAGCCCCAGGGTCTAAAAGTTCCAGCTTTTTCCTGCATAGTCCTGATGATGTGTGAGAGTTTGTATGAACCATAGTAGATGAACTAGGGTCTTCATCATTTTCAGAGCACATCTTCAGCTGATAAACTCTTTCATGGTAATTTTAACTGACTTTTGTAGTAACATTGATGAAGCCAATAAAGAGTTTTTTTTTTCTCTCTTTCTTACTACTTCTAACCCAAGGCCTCCTCCAAGCTTGGAGTATAGGAAGCAGGAGATGAAGGAAGTTATCATAGTATAACTCATACATTTGTATGAACACTCTATATCAGAAAAAGTAAGCTTAAAATCAGGTGGGTAAAAGAGAATGAGAATCTCAATACAAATAATTTTAGTTAAATCATTAGGTTAGGAATAATTTCTTTCTTTACCAAATTGGTATTTTGGAGTGTATCACTGATGAATTGGCATTCTTCGACTGGCTAGGAATTACACCACTTGGTTGCTGGCTGTTAATTCCACACCTCTAATCTAAAGGATAAGTATTACAATGTTTTTTTACATGACTCTTGAGCTCATATTGCTATTAAGTTTTCAAGGGTATCTTATAACTAAATATGCAAATGATATTCATACAAATTTAGAAATCTAGGAAGTACATAAGTAAAAGTTTCTACCTTTTCATGTCATTTTAATATGCAAATGGACCTTCCCTTAAGTTGATTATTTTTGGAAATGGTTAGTGCAAAGATTGTAACATATTGTACTATGTCTTAGAGATTTTTCCTTAATCTTAATAACTGTGTAATAATACGCAAAAGAAAGAACTCTTTTAGAGGTATGATCTCAACGCAGACTCAGATATACACTAAAGACAGTGGTTGTTGGAAATTCTATAGTTACTGGTTACTAAGGACTTGTGAGCTATACAACTCTATCTGATGAAGCACAGGAATTCTTAGAGCACTGAGGGAATGGGCCATTTTCCTAAATATTGATAAAGGAAAAAGCCAAAAGACAAGAAGGGGAAAAATGAGAACTAAGACCTGTCATGTAAAGGTACAAAATCCCAATAATGAATGTAACTGTACTGTACACCTAAAATGTACTAATAAACTCAATGAGGAGAAAAAAAAAAGATTTACAAACATCAAATACAGCTTTTTCACAGGCTAAAGGCAAAATCACAGTCTAATCTTCAGCATTAAGAGGACCAAAAGTTAAAATTGTGTTAATGACAAATTTAGAGTCATTTACAATTTACATTTAAGGCTACATTTTTAAACATTAAATGCTTATAGGACAATTTTATTTCAAAGGCTACGAGTTCAACTGTTTTCAAGAAGCATAAA